GTAAACATGCAAAGATCTACAGAACTTAATTTATATCCCTAAGACAGTAATTTGTTTCATGTCACGCAGTTTGAATTCATAAATAATTTGCCAGAGCAATTGAAAGATAGTTCTATATTTCCCCACTTTATATTTAGTTGATGAGCAGATGTGTCCCTCGACTGTGTAGCTTCATTTCAATGTAGCCTGGCTTTCAGCAATATGCTGAGCTTTTTAATCCTTTCATGTATTCTACACACAGCATGGTGCCATTTTCCGGCCCTGAAGTCTTCTCCTGCAAGACCTCATTGGTTGAAATACAAAAACGACTATATGCATTTATATTTATACATATATAGTATAATTAGAAGAGTGAATTGTGTTATTCAGTGTAGTATAAAGGCTCTGCGTTGAGCCTAATTAAGACCCTCATGTAAGATAACATGCTTGACTTGCGCAATCCATTTATCTGCAGGCGTTGCACCATAATGTCATGTTAAAGAAGGAACAAAAAGATTACAATCTCATTAAGTAACCTGTCAGTATAATCGTGCTGCAGGAACAGTTTCTTCTAGCTATAGTTTATTATCCTGCGTACGTCTATTTCTGCCTCCTGATATCCAGTCATATAACAGGGAACCAGTTTGTGAAATCATTCTTGCTGATTTAAGTTGGCACCCACCTAATATCTGGTGGCTCTCTGTTGCCAAAAAACATACATCATAGTCAAGAAGGTCAAGAGCTCAGTCTATAAATGTGTCCATCACTAATTTACTTCTCTGCCTATCATTCATGAGCATCTGGCATGGAGAGCGCCACTGGCTGTTACTGGGGCTCAGGTATTGACTTACGAGGTAATGAAAGACTTATTTTTTGACGAATGCTCTAAAAAGAATTGAAAACGTGGTGTGATGCTCTTTTCTATCTTGCCTGAATGATCCGTCTTGAACATAATCCGAAAAGAAAAGAAAAGGCGAAGCAGCACCTCTAGCGGCACACAAAACTGGCCGTGTTGAATGCAAGATGTGCTCTGTAAATACAGGACCGTTCTAACAGCTGCATCTTGACACAAGTCTGTGCACCGACTGAGGGTTGAGTTTATTAATGTGTCACGAGTTGTCAGGTGAAGAGGTAACTGCACACCACACATGTTTAAGCACTATTTTTTCTGTTAAAGCCACGTAGAGGTGAAACATAGCTTTTCAAATGTGAGGATTTCTCAGGGTTATATTTCTGTATATTTAATATTTCTGGGTTTTGGACTGTTGGTCGGATAAAACATGACATTTAAACATGCCGCCGTAGGCTTTTGGGGCTCTCGATGGCCTTTTTTAAAAACGTTTTCTTTAATATAGACCAATCGATTAATTGAGAAAATAATAGGCAGATGAATCGATAATGAAAATAATCATTAGTTTCAGCCCTATAATTGCCTAAAAAAAGCCTCTAAGCAAAAATGACTGGTTCCAGCTTCTAAAATTTAATTAGCTGTTTTCTTAATCTTGTATGATAGTAAATTGAATATGTTTGAACTATTTTGGAGTATTGGTAAGACAAAACAAGCAATCTGTACATGTCACCCGGGGTTTTGTGAATATGTGGTCAACATTTTTCACTATTCTTTGACATTTTATAGACCAAACCCCAACTGATTAATGGAGAAAATCATCTGCAGATTAATCAATAATGAAAGTAATTGCTTCAGCCCTAAGTGAGGAATAGTAACAATGTACTTTTTTTTCTCATTTTTCTATGAATGGGGCATATTTCATACTCCAGAGATACAAAATCAAAACAGATCACGGCACTCGCACTTCAATTAAAATTTCCATTTCAATCCATACCAATTATACACCTACCTGCAACAAACTAACAAAAAAACAAAGCAGCTACAGCTCTCAAGTTTGAGACACAAAGAAGCCCATACATATAGAAGAAAGACAAAAGGTAGAAGATGGCGTTTAAAAGGTAGAGATACAGGAAGGTGTTCATTGCTGGCAGCTTGGAGCATAGATTTCATTATGTTTTCTAACATGAACTGGGCAGATCCTTTGAAATCTGTCACTATAATGCTGTTGATGTTGAGCAGGACTCTTTTGGGATGCCATAATATTTGAGTAACATAATATCTGCTATCATCACTCGCCAAATTAAAAAGCTGCACTCCCAGGCACCATATGTTCCAGGTCGCAGAACAAAGTGAACATACAGTAAGTAAAACCCATCTCAATTTTCGTGTAGTAAAACTACATTTGCCGAAGCACTCTGCAGACAGCTGCTCCACCTGCACACACAAACGGCCATTCATCATCCTGTATGGGCCACAGCTGTCCTCAGGTCTAAGAGATGTAGATGTCACGTTATAATCTCCACATCATCCAGCCAATCTAACTCTGCTCCTCTCTCTCTTGTTTCCTGCCATTGTGTCAAAGACAAGAGCATTATTTGAAAAACATTGCCTGGCAAATTGGTAGGACTGAAAATATCTGATGGCGAGTTGTAAAAGGAGTTACGCTGACTCGACTTAAAAGGCACAAAAGGTTCGGCCTATTTAATCTTTGGATGCTCGCAGGATAAAAAAAAAAAGGGAAGTGCTGGCGTCTGACAGGACGTACAGGAGGGCACCTGCGAAGACAAAGTGCTCGTCTTGGAGTCGCAGACACATTTTTCAGCTGACCACGTGAAGACATTAATTTTTAAAGCAGGTCCACAAATGATGTCAGGATTTCTCTTACATCCATTACAGAGTGTCAGACGCAGACAGCTTCATGCAGGTAGGGGCAGGCAGACTGTGATATTGTATGTCAAATGGACTTTCTGAAGTCAAAAAGACTGTGGACCACACATACATTGACATACATTGAATTTCATAGATTATTTACATATATTTCAAAATGGATATAAATAATAGGTTTCTAAAGTACATCACAGTGCAACACATACTTATACTTATATATTCATACACATGTACATATTAATAACATACAATGTAAAACAAATGTCAATATACATTTTACAATATATTAAACTGCCCCAACTTATAATTATTTCAAATATGGATATGAGATGATGCCTTCAGATTGCTTGTTTTGTCCAAACTGCAGCTCTAAACCCAAAAATTATCAATTTATGATCAGATAAGATAAAGAAAAGCAGAAAACATTTAGAATCTTTGGAAGTGGCAAA